CTTTCCCTGGCTTTTGGCGGTTAGCATTTTAAGAGGGTCAGTCTGCTATAGAGAATGTAAAAGAAGAGGTTCACTAGATTTCGAATTAGACTTTTTCATATATGCTTCATGAAGAGCAGACTCTTCCAGGTCACGTTAGTGACTGAGGAAAATGCTTGAAAGTGATGAAAAGTGTAAAAAACCAAGTAATATAACTTTCCCTTAAACAGTAATTTTGCTGCTATGAAACGCTTTCATGCCTGAAGAAGAAAAAAATCAGATGAGTTCATGAATTTTATCTTTTACTCTCCATCTATGTGCAAATCAATACACAGTTAATATCTGCATCATTTTAAATACATCTGAAAATTTTCTTCAACTGCTTGCTATCACTTTCATGTTTAAATCTCAACTTTACTCAGAATTTGGATGTATTCACACCACCTACAACTTTTGTGGCTTTTAGAAGTATACATCCCTACTTTTGTTTTGTGCCATTTTTCTTTCATGACTTTTGCTGAATGGAGTGACTGCCAAAGCTAACTAACAGAGGAGCAGTTATTGTGTCCTCAAAGGTCACCTGAAGTTCTAGCAAAACTGTAAGATACAAAACCATTTACAGTAAAAATTCCACAGGAAATGAAGATACTTTACAATATATTTAATTAAGCAGAACTGTAAAACACATCTGTCTGAAATACTTTAATTTTTATCTCTATGAAAACTTTTAGCTTACAAATTGCAATGGAGAAACCAAGTAGGAAATAGCAGTTGAGAAACAATTAAAGCCATTCATACACAGTCATAATTTTTGTCTCATGCACCGGTTAGAAGACGAGTAACTATCATCCTCCTATTGATTATTATGTTTGCTTTCTCCCCAGCAAGTGTTTTGGATGATATGTATACTTTGGAAATGGGATGTTAACAGTGCTGAAAGTTTTTACTTCAAGCCCATACTCCAGTGGAAGGTGTTGATTTACTGAGAGAACCATTAGGCTTTGCCAATTTGCTGATACAGCTTGGCTTGTTATAGCAGAAGGGTGTAAGTGAGCTGGGAGTAGCTAGAGGCAGAATGAGCTGGAGTTTGGAACAAATATGTCCTAAGAGAATAAACCTTAAGCGCAGCCATGCCTGGAGAGAAGATTGTGTGGCATTTCACATGGTATTATTTCTGAATTAGCTTTTTTTTCTTCAGTCAGATCACAGAAAGGACAGTGCAGGTTTTGGAGGGGATTTTTTATTTTGAGTGCATACATTTATTTGGGGTGGAGCAGGGATTCTTTGTTACTAATGCTCTCTTTGCCTTTTTTACATTTTAATATTTTAAAAAACCCTTCATTTCACTGATATTCAGGATTGCTTTTTAAACTAAATACTAGTTTTGGTGTGTATATTGAACCTTGTTTGATACGAGGGACTTTCCTGTTTTCAGTTGAATTAGCAAGGTAGCTAGGTATTCAAAACAGCAGCTTTGATAGGTCTTGAGAGGAGGGTTTTCCATGTGTAAAGCAGATGGCAATAGGGCTTGCAAGCTTATATCATTGGTGCAGCAGACAAGATAGGAGGCCACGTGGAAAGATACAAAAGTGGCTTGGTAGGGAAGGGAAGGGCATAGTTGTGAAAGGTCTGGAAGATAAGAAGGAGGAGGTGGAAAACAATCAATCAAAGGCAGGTTATATTTTCAGAGTGATCTGCTAAGAGGATGATCTTTAACAGCTATGGTTTGTAAGGATTATAGGGAGCAGTGAGTGTTTTGGAGAAGCTGGAGCAGAGGTGCTTTTGCTAATCAGTATGGGAAACCATGGGCCAATTAAGTGAGGAGGTGAAGGGGTTGAGGAGGTGATTTGATGGATTTGAAGAGTAAGCAAGAAGCTCTGGTGTGGAGGAGCAGATGCAGTTTACCAATGAAGAAGGAAGAGAAGTAGAATGGAAGATTGGAGGAGAGGTGTCATTGTCAGTCATCTCTGAAAGAATCTGCAAGGTCTTGTGTGAAGGAGGAGGGTGCAGGGGAAAGGTTGATTTAAATGAGAATCATGTGGGACTAGCACAGCAGATAAGGCAATATGGAAAAGGGGGGAGGAGATGCTTGAGTTGGAAACAGTAATGCTGAAGACTGAGAATAAATGTGGCCACGGGGCTTTCTTCACATAGGAGTATCACAAGGTTACTATAATGACCACTAGTTCTATAATAGACAGTGGGAGCCATTTTTCAAATTAAAAATAAACTCTTACTAGTTTTATTGAAAGTCTGTGTTTATTGAAAAAGTGCCCTTTGCTTAACGGGTGCAAGAGATAACTGTACATTTAGTCTTTTGTTTTTATTCTTATTGCTACAGCTGCACTGTTGAAAAAAATTATCAGTTCACAACATCAAGTTTTACGCTTCTTTTGCCCACACTATTTAATCTATGGGTACTTTTTCTTAATAAATGCCAGCTATAAACATAATTGTGTTGAGCGCTACGGTTGCAATGATCTTTTTAAGATTAACAGCATTAACTGCTTATATAATGTATGATTTGCAAGTACTAACATTAAATTTTTCATTCTTTTTATTCTGTGCACCATCTTTCATTCTTTTCTTCCAAAACTATACATTTTATATTAATTACATTTGAATGGCATCCTCCTCATTACCATGCAATCCTAATACCACATATGAAATGCTGCTGCCCCCTCTGGTTTACCCTGGTCCTTGTACCTACTGTGTATGGACTCGTTCTCACCCCTTCCCTACTCCCCACAGACCCATCCCTCACTCTTCCTCCTATCTCCTTCGACACACTTACACAGGCACAAATATGGGACAGCTATAGCTACAGTATCCCATCTGAAGGAGACAGTGACAATGGTAGGTGATATAAATATATATATGTATATACTTATTTAATTTTTATGTTTTCAGAAAACTGAATGTACTGTGGGTTTATTTGTGTGTTCCCCACAGCTAAGGATGTAGGACAGGAAGTTGCATGCTTAATGTAATGGGTATTAAAACTAGGGGTTAAAAAACAAAAGCTTAGG